CAATATATTGCCTTTATTATTTATTTATTTATTTATTTATTGAGATGGAGTCTTGTTCTGTCACCTGGGCTGGAGTGTAATGGCAGCAATCTTGGCTCACTGCAACCTCCGCCTTCCAAGCGATTCTCCTGCCTCAGCCTCCTTAGTAGCTGGGATTACAAGCAGGCACCACCATGCCCAGCTAGTTTTTGTATTTTTAGTAAAGACAGGGTTTCACCACGTTGGTCAGGCTGGTCTGGAACTCCTGACCTCAGGTGATCCATCTGCCTCAGGCATCCAAAGTGCTGGGATTACAGGCGTGAGCCACCACACCTGGCCTTTATCTTAACATCTAAATATTGCCTTTAAAATGAAAGACCCTGAGAAAATTAAAAAGAGCATTTGCTTTTTAGTAAACTACCATACTGAATCACCACTAAACTGGTGATATGTGACATCAAAGGGTCATGAACAGCCTAGCTTGAGTCCAAAAGATCTGAGGCCTCCATTTTCACAGTAAAAGAATATCTGTTCCAAACTAATTTTTGAGAATGAATTAAATCTTAAAACAAGGTAAGCAGTCCCATTTACAGTAATCATAGAGTACTGAAATAGTTGACCTGGAAGCTGAGTGACTCAGTGCACAAGACCTTTGGGGTCAGAGCACTTGGAAAGTTAGGCTGACCTGGGTGAAAGTGTGCTCTGCTCCTAACTAGTGACTATGGTCAGATACCCTGAGCTCCAGTTTTACATTGCTAATATATAAAATAAAGGAATTGGGAAATTGGACAAATGATCTCAAAACCTCTTCCAGGTCTAAACAATCATATATTTCTTTCCCAGGAAGTAGTCCTTAGGTATTTGTCCTTAACCTGCTTCTGTTTCAAGAAGACAGCTTTTTGTTTTTAGATGCAATATGAAAAAACATAACAATCATGCAAATTTCTTTCTTTCTTTCTTTCTTTCTTTCTTTCTTTCTTTCTTTCTTCTTTCTTTCTTTTTTTGAGATGGAGTTTCATTCTTGTTGCTCAGGCTGGAATGCAGTGGCATGATCTTGGCTCACTGCAACCTCCACCTCCCAGGTTCAAGCAATTCTCCTGCCTCAGCCTTCTGAGTAGCTGGGATTACAGGCATGTGTCACCCCTGGATAATTTTATATTTTTAGTAGAGACAGGGTTTCATCATATTGGTCAGGCTGATCTCGAACTCCTGACCTCAGATGATCCATCCGCTTTGGCATCCCAAAGTGCTGGGATTACAGGCATGAGCCACTGCACCCAGCCGCACATTGCTATTTTTCAATTCACACTTACTTTACCTTCTCTTAGGGCAAAATTGAACAGAGCCTAAGATACGGTGGAAACTAATACAGAATTTCTCCAATGAAATAAGAATAGGATGTTGCTGTTTAAACTTCATGTACCTTTAAAATGGGCTAGTTTGTTTGCAGAACAGTAACTCAAACCCAGTATTTGCCCCTAGCTGCTTACATTGGAAGGGAGTGGTGGCAGTTTACTCAATATGAATAAGAAAATAAATCAGCTAACAACTCAAGACTGTACAGCCATGCAGGCTGCCTTTTAAGTTTCTGACTTCTGATTTATTTTTCTTTCCCACCTCCCCATGGCGAAGGGCAGTCAATAAATTCTCAGATCAAGTGTCTGTCTGGAAAGCTGGCTGTCTTCCAGAAATACAATTAGGTATGAAAGAAAAGTCTCATCCCTCACCTCCTTAAACTATTACTCCAGCCCTTTCACAGCAGAACACTAGAGTGGGAATGAGAAGTGTGGCCCTTGTGTGTCGCCTTAGTTCTTTTGACGGTATGGTCACACCCATCTCTTTGTGGCATTGTACAAGGAGTCCGTTTAGGTACAAGGGATGTGAGACCCAGTGACTGCCCCCAAAGTGCTTGTCACTAGAGCTTCTCTCCCTCACTTCTACTTGGCCTTGACATTTTTCTTTCAGAGGGTTGCCTCATACTGACTTCTGGTAAAATCTTGGAGCCCTAGGCCTAAGCCTGCTCAGCGTGTGCCTCCTTTGCCTCCTCCTCAGGGCCCATTCCGGTGGGACAGAAGTGCTACTTTGGGGATGGACTGAAACAAGTCGTTGGGCTTCCACTGGCCATTGCCACTTGCTTGACGTGGTGAGGAGGGGCCGTGCCTCCAAAGGCCCAGATCTGTAACCTGAAGATACTGCTGTGATGTGAATGGAGGAAGTGCATGTAACCCCTTCAGCACAATGCCTAGTGAACAGACAAGCTGTGAGCCTTGGGCATTATCACGATGCTGGTGGAGAAAGCCCGCACTACTGATAGAGGCTGACAGCCTGGATTTGAATCCCCTCATTTGGCATATAATCTTGGCAAAGTCTGAAAGCCTCAATTGCCTCGTTTGTAAAATGGGGAGATAGTAGGACTTGCTACCTGGGGCCGGGGCAGGATGGAGGGGGCGCATGAGGATTAAGGCAGAGCTCAGCGGAGTGCACTCTAAGGATCCGCGAATGTGAACCTTCGTTTTTACTGCTGCCTATGAGGACGCTGCCAACAAACCTGGCAGCTTCAAGCATCCGTGCCCTTAAGCGAATAAGTTCTCTTAGGCCCTATACGCAGGAAGACTGCCTTGAATTGGCGCGGGAGGCTGGTGGGGGAGTGGAGGACGCTTTGGGACCCCCTGGGGGTCGGGCGGGCAGGGTGGACTTGACTCGGGGCGGGCGCCCGGCGGCGCGCGGTTCTGCGGCTCCGCTGCAAGGTCTCTCGGGGACCGGGGCCGGCGGAGCGCGCGCCCGCGAGTAGGGGCCAGGCTGGGGACCCCGCCCAGGCGGCCGCGGCCGGATCCCCGGGCTGGGCGCTGCTTGCAGAGCCGACGGGGCGGAGAGGAGCGTGGCGGGAGGAGGAGTAGAAGGGGGCTGGTCAAGGGAAGTGCGACGTGTCTGCGGAGCCTTTTTATACCTCCTTCCCGGAGTCCGGCAGCCGCCGCCGCCGCAGTCCCTGCGTCCTTCGGTCTTTGCTCCCGGGACCAAGGCTCCCTGCAGCCAGCTAGCATGTCGGGGATCAAGAAGCAGAAGACGGTAGGCTTCCAGGCGCCGGCTTCCCTCCCCTACGCCGCGCTGCACGCCGGGCCCGCGCCCCCCAGACCCCGGCACTCGGGTCCCACCCTCCCCGGGAGGTGGCAAGCGGGGCGTCTGGAGGAGGAGGGCACGGAGGGAAGCAGGAGAACCAGGCTCTGTGTGGGATTCCCGGGGCAGCCCCTCTCCACCCCGCGAAGTCGACACGCCCGCGAGAGACCCCGAGCTTCCCAAGTGGGTCCCTATCAAGATCCAGGACCAGGGACAGGAAATCCCCTTTCTTTCTCAGGAGCGCTTCCAGACCCGCCTTTTCTTCTGTAGGCTCTCGGAGCAGATCGAGCTGACTCCAGGTCTGCCAGGTCTGCTCTCTGGGGTTTTGTCTATGGAACTTCCTTGGAGTGGGCTTTAATGACGGATCATAGAGGAAACTGCAATTATCGAGGCTAACTGGAGGAAATTGCATTTCTACACTGGCGGGATTTAGCCCTCTAGTTCGATTCTGCTCCCTATCAGCATTGGGTGGCATCTCGAGTTCAGTAATGGGTGGGGGTGCCCCTCGGTTTGGTGGAGTAAGATGAGGGGACTGTGTTGAGGAGGCACGGTTTTACCCAGAATTAATCTGAGCCGTCCTCTTTTAATGGGGAATTATGAGGGTGTGTCAAAAAGAAAAGTTTCTTTCCCAGCAACATGGACACCTATAAATTTTGCATTCTTAAAAATGTCAGCAGTTCTATTTGTCAATTATACCCCAATAAAGCTGGAAAAAAAAAACGAGAGCAATAATCATAGACTCTTAGATTTGGAAGGAGCCTTCTAGACAGAAGTGGGGCGACGTCAGATGTGGTCAGCAAGCCTTGATAAAATACAACTCAGCAGTCTGGCCACTAAACGCACCATCTTCAGCCACCATCCTGCAAGCCTCAGATGATTGTGCTGGTTACTGTATGGGTTGACCTCTCTCTAATAGGTAGACTTGTGATGGACAAATAATAGGTGCCCGATAAATGTTTATTTCTATTCTTATATAATGTGTGTACCAAAATATCTTTGAGGTATATTTGTGGTGGGCCGAGGGAGAGGTTTAAAAAAAAAAACAAACAAAACATAAAACCAAGAAGTGGGGAAGGAGTGTGGAGGAGCCATGCAGGGCTAGAAGTGTCACTTGAGCAGCAAGAGAATAGGTCGGGGGCTTTGCGGCTTCTGGGGATCATACTGGACCAGCAGGAGGGTCCAGGTTGTAGGTGGCATCAATTTGGGAAGGGACATTCATCAAAATCTAGCTGGCTTTCATAGGAGTAATTTTTAAGTGGGGGACTCTCTGCATCGTAACATTTTTAAAATAATAAGTGAAAATCACTTGTATGTTATTCCTATTTAATGTGATTAATTTCTGTAAAATCCGAAATAGTCTTCTAAATGGCAAGCTGCTGTGCCAGTAGCTTTTTATATCAGTGGGGTTTTAATTCCCACCTTGCAGCTTGTATCAAGAATTCCTTCTCAGTTGGGATACGGGGCTTTGTTGAGCATTAGAAAGGGCTGGGGTGGTCTCTCCTCTTCATGCCTCCAGTTGGTAGGAGCCCAAGAAGAGGAGGGTTTGAGAACAGGGTCATTACAAATCAACTGTGGGGCTCTACATAGTCAGAAGCAGTGAGAAATTTGAGGGCTGGAGGGTTTGGTTTTTGTATTTACACATTCTGAATCTTCTATTTTTTGTTGGGTGGGTGTATGTGTGTGTCTGTTTTATGCAGCGTTAAATTAACTCCTGAAACAGCTAACTGAAATAGAACTTTTCTGAATTTTGATTTAGTCTAACACAGTTATAACCCAGGCACCAAGCCAAGTTCCCAAAAGGGCTAGATAGGTCCTATTGGTACTATTTACAGCAAACCAGCTGTAAATGCATATGAAATCTCTCAAGCTTTAAATGTTAATTCAAAATGTGTTTTGAAACCTTGCAGGCCAAAGCAAAATCTGTCCCCTTGTGTGATCTCTGCACTAATCAATTATTTGGTAAGTAAGTCTTGACCTAAAGCTAGCTTAGGAGAGAAGCTGGGCTGACCTTCTTAGAGACTTACAGGAATCATCACATTGTTTACTTCGTTGTCAACAGAGGACAGTTAATTCACACAGCAGCCACTACAGTAACTTCAAATATTTGTTGAGTACCTACTGTGTGCCAGGTGGTATACTGGTGGGGGAGGGGAAAAAGGAGATACCTCTTTTCCAGGTTTTTTTGGCCACACTCTTTGGATGAATATTGACTTCCAGTTCAGACCACTCTAGGAAAAGTAGATAGTTTTCGTTTAATTGAAAGAGTGTAGGATGATTTTTTTTTCATAAGCTTTAAAAAAACTAAATGTTCTTTTATAAAGGAAGGTAGTACATTCCTTCTGTGCTATGCATCTTTACCATGGAAACCAGAGAAACAGCTACCAGTCACATTCATCCCTTCATCCCTTCCACCCCTGACTTACCTCCAACCCTGGCTACCCTTCCAACCCCACCCCCTAGACACACACGTGGACACCCAGGAGAGAGAAGGGGACAGGCTGCTTCTAGGGGACTGGGAAGAAGGGAAGGCAATGGCCTGGGCCTTTCCTCTTGCATCATTTCCCGGATTAACATTTTCCAAGGCCCACGGACAGTGTTGTTATGTTCTGGAGACACCCAATCTGAAAACATTGACTGAGATATTAAGTTATTTGCTGAAGGATTAAACATGACAACGATTACAAAGGAGTGAAAAGACACTGAAAAACACAGTGTTCTCCATGGATGTAAGAGATTATCCATTCACCTTTTCCTTATTTATTTTCTTTTTTCTTTGAGACAGGGTCTTATTCAGTCACCTAGGCTGGAGTGCAGTAGCGTGATCTCAGCTCATTGCAACCTCCGCCTCCTGGGTTCTCTTGCCTCAGCCTCGCAAGTAGCTGGGATTACAAGCACCTACCGTCATGCCCTGCTAATTACCTTTTCCTTATTTTCAGAACTGTGTACAGTTTGACATTATTTTTCTAGAAGTAGCTACTTTTTTTTTTTTAGACGGAGTCTGTCTCTGTCACCCAGGCTGGAGTGCAGTGATACAATCTTGGCTCACTGCAACCTCTGCCTCCCTGGTTCAAGCAATTCTCCTGCCTCAGCCACCCAAGTAGCTGAGACTACAAGCATGCACCATCATGCCCGACTAATTTTTGTATTTTTAGTAGAGACAGGGTTTTGCCATATTGGCCAGGGCTCATCTCAAACTCCTGACCTCAGGTGATCCACCTGCCTTGACTTCCCAAAGTGCTGGGATTGCAGGCATGAGCCACAATGCCTGGCTAAAAGTAATTACTTTTAAAACTATGTAAAGGCACTACCTAAGGCAAGACAGGAATTTCTAGATGAGTAACCATTGGAGGGAGGGAGAGACAAGCACTTCCTAGAGGCCAGACACTTAGACATACTGGATTTCATCTCATCCCCTCAGTAGCCCTCTTCTCAGGAAACAGCTTTGACTTCAGGGGAGGAGAAACACCAGGGGCAGGGCTCTACTGAAATTCAGATCTGTCCAGCATCAAAACTCACACTCTTGCTCCCTCTGTACTTCTGTTTCAGGATATACCTGCTCTGGCCCATAGTCTTCTCATCTGTAAAATGTGGGTAATAATAACTTACCCTTAGAATTGTTGTGAGGAGTAAATAACTCCTAAAAATTGTCTTGCACAGTGCCAGACCCAGAGTTAGTGCCTCATATGCCGTAGCTATTTTTTTGTTTCTGTATTAAACTATACTGTCATGGTTTGGCATACATAAAAAGAATAAAAAAGCACATATTATGCTGTTTTGAAGGCTCAGTAAATGACAACAACCAGAATTTTTTTTGTTTGTTTTGACACAGGGTCTCTGTCACCTAGGCTGGAGTGCAGTGGTGCTATAATGGGTTACTGTAGTCTTGACCTCCTAGGCTCAAGTGAGCCTCCTGGCCTCAGCCTCCCAAATACCTGGGACTACAGGTGCACACTATCATACCTGGCTAACTTTTAACGTTTTGTGTATGTGTGTTTGTTTTTTGTTTTTGTAGAAATGAGGTCTCACTATCTTGTTCTGTCCAGTCTCGAACTCCTGAGCTGAAGTGATCCTTCTGCCTTGGCCTCCCAACCTGGCCAGACAGAATATTTAATAAGGGAAAAACAAAAGCAGAAATATAGAGGTGACCATTTGAATTCTTATTGTGAAAAGCTGGATAGAAGACACTGGCTGGCAATTAGTGTAGAGGTACCAGAGTATCAATGAGTTTTGCCAACAACTTTGGCCAAGAAAAATAATCCATGCATAAAGTAAATATTGGACTAACTTCTCTCCACCCTTCCTGTGCCTTCAACTATTCCTATATCTACCTTAAAATTAGTGTTTCCCAATTCATGCCATCACCATTTATTAGATTATCTGCTTGGACTTTGGTGCGGTTAAAAGATAAATGTGGTTAACTCACTTATATGTTTCTTTGAGATAGTTATCTTTGTCTTTTATCATTTTTCTGTTGATGCATGTGGCTCTGTGGTTTGCTTAGGACATAATTGGGCTTAGCTCTAACATGGAACATTTAGGGAATGAGAGTCTGGGAAAGGCATCAATGATGTCAATCTCACTCCTAGGAGATTTCTGTTTATTTCAAAATCTATCACTAAGCAGTAATGGACACTCATTAGGCTTTCTGTTTGGAAGTCTTAGGAAAATGCAGAAACTAAAGGTAAATAAACAAAAATATAATGCTAGCTCAACTGGCTTTTTAGCCCCTGGGTGATTTCTCCATATGACACTTGAAACAGTATATATGCCCAGCACCTGACATTGATCCTGGCACAGATGAGGTGTTCAATATTCATTGAACAAATGCATGAGTTAAATGGCTACAGAATTCATTAGAGGATGTATTTCCTCTTAGGAGCTACATTTTTCCAAGATTCCTTACTCTCTCCTTTTCTCTGTCTTTGCGTGCTTGGTTATTTTTGACTGTGTATTTGTAATTACTACTGAAAAATTCCTTTCAGAGATTCTTTGAGGCCTAGGATGAATAGCTGTATTTTTAGAGAGGATTTGCTTTTGTTTCTGCCAGGTATCTGGCCCCACTTCTAGCCTAGGACTACTTTAATTTAAATTTACCACTTTTTAAAGACCTAGGTGATACGAACTTGGATTGCTATTTTACACCTCCTTGTGCTTGTGAATACAGCTTTTCAGGGACCACCCTCCCCTTTTACACTCACTTTCTATGCCGAGACAACTGTCCTTGCAGTCTCTCTGAGTGGGAGGTAGGTTTATTCTGGTTCACCCTTATTTTTAGAGTGTAGTGTTTAGGAGCCCAGCCTAACTCAAAGAAGACCTTTTTTACTTTTCACTTGAGTGGGTTCTGGGCTTTGATTTCTGTCACGTCTCTCAGTGAAGCTGTCAGAATCAGTGTACTTATGCTCCTCTCAGCAAATATGCCCCTGTAAGGATAAAAGTGCCTCTCTGCTTACTTAGCTCTTTGAGTTCCTGCTTTCTTCCAGATTTTGGCCTCATAGTTTCTTCCTATTTTGTCAGCTATCTGTTGTTTTAAAATATTTTTTTTAGATGGAGTCTTGCTCTGTCACCCAGGCTCAAGTGCAATGGCATGATCTTGGTTCACTGCAACCTCCTCCTTCCAAGTTCAAGCAATTCTCATGCCTTGGCCTCCTGAGTACTGGGATTACAGGCATGCACCATCATGCCAGGCTAATTTTTGGATTTTTAGTAGAGATGGGGTTTCACCATGTTGGCCAGGCTCATCTCAAACTCCTGACCTCAAGTGATCCACTTGCCTCCCAAAGTACTGGGATTATAGGTGTGAGCCACCATGCCTGGCCTGTAGTTTTAAATCAGATTATTTTACATCATTACCAGCATTTATAGTTATTTTCAGTGGAAGCATCAATCTGAATAGCCTAACCCATCACTGCTTGAAATAGAAACTGCCACCTCTTCTAGATTCCTGTGAATCATTACCATCTCCTGTCATACCTATACCTGACCAGACCTGTGTCACTCATAAAAGGAGTACTTTATGAACATAGCTAGTCAAAAATATTTAATTTAATCCTTTTTTCCCTAGGATGTACTATAGCATAGAGTGGGGAGTGCTCACCTTGTCTTGGTGGTCTCTGCCTATGCAGACATCCTTAGAGATGTGCACCGTCCTGTCTGATCCTTAGTGTTGGTCCAGTTCAAGTGCATTCTTGTCTGAAAGGCCTTTTCAGTTTAAGCAGCTCTCCTTACTTCTTTCATGTTCTCCTGGGTACCCTGAGGCCATTTTGTTGCTCCAGCACAACTCTGAGGTTGTGGGGGATGAATTTGGTGTGACTAGTTAAGGTCATTGACATGTCCCTAGTACCCCCAAGAGTGTGGGAACTAGTTTCCTACTTTACTGTGACCATGCAGGGACTTGGAGGAGCTCTAGGGGCTGCTGGAATCCACCCTCTTTTCTTCTGAGATCAGAAGTACACCCAATGCCCTCTGCTTTCAGAGCCCCCAGGGCAATTTGGCCTTCTTCTTCCCCAAGCTCAGCACCAGGGGCAGGGTACTACTCCCTGTTTCAGACTCAGACAGGCACTCAAGCTTGCTCTCCTCCGCCGCCTCCTCCTCCTCCTCCTCCTCCTCCTCCTCCTCCTCCTCCTCCGCCGCCGCCTCCTCCTCCTCCTCCTCCTCCTCCTCCTTCTCCTCCTCCTCCTCCTCCTCCTCCTCCTCCTCCTCCTTCTCCTCCTCCTCCTCCTCCTTCTCTGTCTCTCTCTCTCTCTCTCTCTCTCTCTCTCATTTTTGTTTGTTTGTTTGAGACGGAATCTTGCTCTGTTGCCCAGGCTGGAGTGCTGTGGTGCGATCTCGACTCACTGCAACCTTTGCCTCTTGGGTTCAAGCAATTCTCCTGTGTTAGTCTCCTGAGTATCTAGGACTACCAGCATGTGCCACCACACCCAGCTAATTTTTGTATTTTTATTAGAAACAGGTTTTCACCA